TCGTGCAGAGTCTTGTCATCCAAGTTGGAGCTGATGGCATCGACGAAGCCAAAGTCCTCGAAGTTACCGGGCTGGCGGAAGTGCTCCTGCTCGTTCATGATGAAGTGCTTGGTGCAGGCGATGACACCAGCGTCCTGGATACCGCGGACGGTGTCGGCGACAGCATGGCCAGTCAAGACTGGGTCAGGGGAGAAACCTTCCCAGTTACGCTGAGCAGATGTTAGTGAATGTCAAGGCAATCGAGTCGAATAACTTACTCCACCCTTGGGATGGCGACCAAGAGGACCGATAGCAGGGCCGAGCTGCACATCGACACCCTTTGCGCGGTGCTCCTGACCCATCTGATAACCACGACGGTAGAACTCGCCACGGTCCCATGATGCAGCGATAGTGCCACCTGCAGGGAATGCAGAGACGTAATCGGCGAAACGGATACCCAGAGGGCTGTCTTGCAAGCAGAGAGGGTCGAAGTCGAGACGGGGGATGGCGCCAACGTTGCCAACGCAGGCGTCACTCTGCCATCCAGTTCCGGTAGTGAGGTTCACTTTCTCGATGAGAGTAAGCTGGCTGACAAATGCCTTTGCCTTGGTGATGGCATCAGCCCAGTCGCCGGTGGTGTCCTCTGCCCAGCTATTTACGAGTCAGCAACTGTGTTCCAGATGTGAAGTTCGGTCGTGTCGCGATGCAACTGCCGCATGTGAAAGCTTGGTGGAGCCGGCGCTCCTTCGCTCTTCCCCACACCTGTCAAGCCCACTTCTACGGCTAATGACCTGTAAAATGCCGAAATTTGTACGTACGGGCTGGGGTAGTATGGAGGACTCTCAGCAAAGTTCAATGGACTGCTGGTGTCGTTGGAGCCCGTGTTGTTGGAATACTTGTTTATGATCAGCGTAAGCTCGTAAACACGGCTGCCGGGGTGAATTGTACTGCGCGCAGAAAGGGGAAGAGGGCCACAACAAGATGCGCAAGATCGCGCAGCATCTCTGCAGCTTGATAACAAATATCTCGCAGCGCCAACGTCGTTGTGGTGCGTAATTAGGGAATGTGCAAACATACCTGGGCGTGGGCAAGGCCCGCAAACAATGCTTGTGCAAGCCACAGCATGGCGTCCGGCTGGCTGGGAAACGCGGCGATTGAGATGCAAGAACACAGTAATATAAATCTACTGTGGTAGTATGCAAGTAGGAGTTGAGAGCGCTCGCAGACACAGGCCTAAAGTCCCGGGCGCCATGACAGCTTTATTCACAGCCGCGAGCAGCAAGTGACATGGGCAGGGCATAGCTTCCCCAGCGCCCAGCTACCCGTCCCCTAGCACCATGCGCCGTCACGACCCCAGGCGCAAGCGGCTGCCTCTTCTTCTGCGGGGGACGTGTGCAGAACCTGCTGATCCCCGCCCCTAAGCCCTCAATGACTCGATGGAGCGCACCCCGGGGCCTCCGCTGTGTTCTTCTGGCCCCGATGTTTCCTTGGAAGCCCCATCACATGGTCCGTCTCCAGTCAAGACTGCTGCGCATATGCAGCGACCATCGACTTCTCGCAGCTGCATCACGTCAGGGTAGCTCCACAAGGGAGAAGAAGAAATATTGCTTCTCTCCCGTCTCCCTTGAGCTACGTGCACGGGCGCGTTGAATGACCCTGGCCGTGTACATCGTCATCTACCTACGTCAACCCCGGACGTGCATATAAGCTCACACTCAAAAGCCCTTTCCGAGCGCCACAGAACAGCCAAGCTCACGGTGGGAGGTGCGTGAGGCGCCCTGTCTCGCTGGCTCAAGACGTCCAAGGCCAGGGCAAGACACACAGTGCGGGGTTGGTGTCGTATTCGAGCTTCCATGCTTCCGTCTTCAACTGCGCCGCAAAGCCGCAAACCTTGGTCTCTAGCATCTGCTCAGTAGCGTCTGCTGTGAGGTCCGACATTCCGTTGGGCTGAGAAATCGGCGGTATAGCTCCTCGGGGTAGACCCAGTATTACCTGGAGCACCCGCATTATACATTGGCGAATCCTCGGGAAAACTCTTTGAGGACATGCTCCCGTTTTGCAAGCTCACATTTACGTCCGGACCGTTGCCTCGGCGTTTGCTGTCGAGCAACTAGCAGCCGACCAGATGCGCTTGAGAGCTTTTCCACCGGATGATCTAGTAAGCACCAGGACGCTCTCGTGGGCCGCCCCACTCGGCAGGTGGTACAACGAAAGTCACTCACGTCACTGATCTGGTCTGAGTAACTTGACCCCGATACTGACCCATTTGTGCTACACCTCTTCTCTCAGAGCAGCATCGCGTCAATACCAAGCGGATACACGAGCCGACGGTACGTCGTTCGGCATGTCGTCTACCATCCGCCATGCTTGGCTGTGTCTCTCAATTGGTTACTACGTTGCAAACGGTACAAAGTACCTTGAATGTCAAAAGTACCTCGCGGTACACCGATAGTCTGCGATCCCTACCCAAGAACATCGCTAGCCACGTTGGCTCCGAGTCCTAAGAATACCAGCAATATCCGAGTACCCGTTTTCCAGTGTGACGATCGCAACTTAATCAACGTAGTCGCGGTGTGTTAGCTTCGCGCTTTCAAGGCACATCGCTGGTGGTGGTCAATCTAGATGTCGTCGTCCTGTGCAAGGACTTGCATGAGTCGTTCACGCTATATACCCCGCTCCGCGTGGAAATAGCACCTATTACGTCTAGCCTGCAGAAGTCTACCAGGTTTTAGCCTCTAAGCGCAGTCCGGGTGAAGACGACCATTTGCGCCACATTCCACGATGCTGATGCAAGAGATTGGAGTTCTCTCTTGGAGTTGTGCCCAACGGGGCAGGCTTACTCAACATCATCTCGGTGCGGTCAGATTGAATTGCACCGGGCCGTCATCTTATATCCGCAGTTGAGCCTAGCCTATAGCCGAGCCTTTCGAGATAATTTGGATCACATATCACGTATTACATCGAACTTTTCACTGCCCGTCGAACTCCTGAACTTACCTCACAGAGTCTGCTTTTCTCCTTTCAGACCTAAATCGGATCAAGTCTAGCATCTGTTTGATGCAGCGCTATAGGGACTCTTAGCATCTGCAAAGGACAATCGATCGCTTTCGGAGATGCGCCTTCATACGCGTGCGTGGCTCAGGGTCTGGCTAGCTTCGAGAATTGCGCATTGATGACGAAGCATGTCTGGTCTCCAACTGGCGAAAGATCGCGAACAGAAGATTTTGAGCTTTACAGCAACTCAGATACGCCTGACTCGGCTCTGTAAGCATGTGTTTGAGGACGAAGGGTACTGAGCTACAGAGCTGGACACCTACCCATCGTGCCGGTACACGCCATGATCTTTAGGATGCCCATGTGATCTTCATCGGATGGTAGCGACAAGAGACGGCTCCAACAACTGTTTACGATCAGGCGTACCGCGACACAAATGTGGATGATGGGTTATGGCGAATACGGCTTTCGAGTGTGAAAGCTAGCGAAAGACGAAGCACCAGATGGCGCTAAACCTGGTGCGGGGTTGGTGGAGTTTCTAAAGTAGGCCGCCTGCTGGCTGTGCACGACATCATACCTCACTCGTATGCGCGCCTCTTCTACTAGGAAGGGCGCAAGGTACATCTCTCGAGGTTCAGTTGTCGTGCGTGCCCCTATCGGAGTTGTTTGGCTGAAGGGCGAAGGCTCGTGATCTGACGTCATGGTCAGCCCTCACCATGCTCTCACAGGACTTCATGAGTCTCGGAACATTGGTTGATCGACCAGCATACATTGTAGAGGTACTTTGGATACGTCTCCAGGCCACAGCCTCATTAAAGCTAGGAGATGCTTGGTATCTGTGGGGTACTGTGATGAGTCTCGTCGAAGCCAATGGCTGTCAGCGCCGCAAGGCTGCCTGCAGGCAGCACCACTGCGCCTTCCGTTGAGTCAACAGCCTTGAGTCAAACCTCGCACATTCAACTACATGCCGTTCTCTATTTAAGTTGATGTTGTGGACATCTTTATGTGACACTGTCGCATAAGCCATCTCGTTTACCATGGGTTCCAAGTTTTCTCGAGCGGTACGGCCGCAGGTGAATGCTGCTGCCTTGCCAGTCGCAACTGCCCACCATCACGACATTGACCATGCAAACGCGCAAACGCAATGCCAAGAGGCCACATCACGGGTCTCAGACCCTTATTGTTACGACGATATCAACGTTGCAAGCTCGACCACCCCACCAGTAATTCTGCAAAGACGCAACAGCGCACCCGCCTTATCATCTCATTCCGCGCCTTCTGTCGGTATGGAACAAAGTACCACCAATCCCTTCCTGATCCGCTACGAACAGTATCGACTTGCGTTTATTCGAGACCATCCCAACGAACCGGCTCCGCAGCCAGCGCTTACCCGGCCCCGTTCTCCTCCAGCACCAGCACCACCACAGCCCACTCTTACTTTACCACTACCTGAAGTACAATGCATCATATGCTGCACAGAATTACCAGATACTAAGAATTCAAAACACGTGAAAGAGGTCGTCAAGCCTTGCAGACAATGTGGCAGTACATACTGTGGGTCGTGCATCAAGAGGATGTTCACCGAATGCTGCAAAGATACCACGCGCATGCCTCCGAGGTGCTGCGGTCAGATCCCAATTCATTACGCAAAACCACATCTGACGAAGGAGGAATTTGTCGAGTTCAAATCGAAGTACGAAGAGTGGCTCACGCCAAATCCATTTTATTGTCCAGTGCCAACCTGCTCGGCCTTCATTCCAGAACGACTCCTGCCCGATCGGGCAACGAAAAAGAAAGGGAAGCGCGCTGACTCTGGTGTTGGAACGCCAACGTTGAACGTCTTTGCGTGTCCAACCTGCTCAGCTGAGATCTGTCTCGAATGTCGGCAAGTCGCTCATCCGGACGCTATATGCAATATCTCTGAATTCGGCATCGATGCAGAAACTACAGAGCTACTGAAGAGCTGGGGGTATAAGAGGTGTCCAAAGTGCGGCCATGGACTGAAACGAATGTACGGTTGTCTACACATGGAGTGTCGATGTGGAGCGCACTTCTGCTACATGTGTATGGGCGAGCCGGAAGACTGTGGCGGAGCGTGTAATGAATATGGGGAAGACGACGGCAGTGACGGCAACATCACGGAGTCTGATGAGGGCGAGTCTCCATCTGGCACGAACGATGCATTGGCGCTATCCAACGAGACATCTCAAGCGCAAGCGACCGTTGGCGCAGCAGCGATATCGACGCCACAGCCAGCGCCTCCCCGTAATCTTGATGCTGGAGGGCCTCGTTACTGGGAGGATCAAGATCTAGACTTTGGTGAAGAGCCAGGGGAAGACTACCAGGACCGTTCATGGAACTGTGACCACAGCTTCGAAACCTACAGAATTCCCCTCGCAAAAGCTCTAGTCAACGATTCCGCGGCTGAGATGGAGTGTGTAAAATGCTGGTGCTCGATACATCCAGAGATCGAAGCACCGAACACCGCAGTCGATGAGATGAAGGCAAAGACCGTACCCGCAGGTATAGTACGAAGAGCCGGTCGAGGGTTCAGAAGGGGTAACGGACCAGGGCGAGGGCGCGGTCGTCCACGCGGCGCATACGCACCTCCTCGCGGTCTCTTCCAAGCTGGTGATGCCATTGGAACAGCGCCCCATCTTACTACTTCCGTCGCCTCGCCGCTATCTGAAAGCGTGCCCATTCGCGAAACCTCGCCCATGGAGGATGTCCAGTACTCTTCCGGCCGCGTGGTAGATACCTACGGCAACATCATCGCGACATCAGAGATCGAGCTTCGACGTCGAGCATCCGATGCATCTTTCGTCACTGATGCCGTTCCTCCACAGGCGAATGGAAAGGCTCAGACTAAGGCTACTTTCAATGCCCCATCGACCATCTTCTCCATGAAGTTCAGTCTCGCCCATGAGTGCGTTAATTGCGCCTTACTCGTGTGCGCATCGTGCAAAGACGGTATCTTGGCTGCTGAAGAGGGGAAGTGAGAGTCCTGAACCTTTCCGTACCTCTTACTTTACACGGATCTTTGCAGCATTTATTAGCATGGGGAATTCGACTTTGCACTATAATGGCGTTACGGGCATACGGCTTTCCTTTCCATAGTTTCAAGACGCTTTTCAAATGAAATGGGAAGATTTGAACACTTATTTATCGAACGGCATATAGCAAGTAATTGAAGCACCCTTCTATGCATCTCAAAATGATGATTAGTGCTAGAGAACATCATGGGGTTGCATGTGGATTGTGTAGAGGTTTTGCGGTAATGTATGTGTCTCGGTCAGCGATTACATGCTTCCTTAAACAGCTACTGCGCAGTGAAGTTTGATTGAGTGGTTATATCGAGTTGAATCATCTTCGTTTAAGGAAGCGACGTCAATCTTTCCATGGCTCTATGGCCCTGCTGTCTCGGTACCTTTGTTCACCCACATATGTGCTGCATGCCTACGACTTCAGACCCTGTTCACTCTTCACACACTGAGTGCTGAGCTGTCTCATGATACTTCATAGACCCAGTTTGACATCTAGAATTCCAGTGTGCCTCGATGTAACATAGGTACCACTCGTCCTTCATACAAGCATCTATTAGAGACAAGAGCGTGAGGGTGTCATCAAGGTACACGTGTTCATCAGATACAATTTTTTATTCTTGTTCATAGAAACGTACTACCACACACAAGAAGACCAACTGGGGAATCAAAACACTTGCAAAGGTTGAGCTCAAGTTCACTACATTCGTGGTACCGGTAGATGTAAGTATTTTAGCCTGCCGACATCTCTGTTAGAGATTCCTTGATATTGTGCTTTCGCTCTCCGTTCGCTCGTCCCGTCATGAGATAGCTTATTCATTCGTTCATTTCATCCACACTTGACTGTCGGATGCAGGTATGTCCTGTTTTCAGGCCGAAACCAAGGTTGACGCAATCTATGCGCCCAGGCTGGGGAAGGCGCTGGAATCGGTGATGTTGATGTTGGACTGGGCACCGCCGCGGCCTCCACGACCACGAGCCTCGCCACGTCCACGACCCTCACCGCCACGGCCACGTCCGCGGAACTCGCCACGACCTTCGCCGCGACCACGTCCCTCGCCACGGAATTCACCGCCGCCACGGCCACGACCGCGGAACTCGCCACGGCCTTCGCCGCGACCGCGTCCTCCTCGGCTGCCGCCCTCACGGGGAGGGGGAGCAAGCATGCGGTCACCGTCGAGCTCGACGTGGACCTTCTCCTTGCGGGCGCGCTCGCGCTTGGCCTTGCCTTGGGAACCGGCCATGAAGTCCTCTTGCTCCTCACGGGCGAGAGCAGTGCCCTCGGGGAACTTGGTGCTGCTGCCCTCGTTGGCCTTGCGGACGTTCTGGGCGGCGAGAGAGAGCTTCTTCTCGGCGAGCTCAGCGAGGTAGGCGGCGTAGGACTTGCTCTTGTCCTCAGGCTCGGCATCGGCCTCACCCTCAGCGTCCTCCTTGATGGCGTCCTTCTCTTCAGCCTGAGCCATGGCCTCTCCGGCCTGCTCGTCAGCCAACTCGGCATCGCCGTCCTTTCCGCCCCAGCCGTGTGCGGCCTGCTTGTCGTGCTCGCTGGAGGTTGTTAGATATGGGCGTGATATGATATGGGATTTCTTACGCGATGCCAGTCCTGCTATGACGGTCACCCTGAGCAGCGCCTCCGCGACCTCCACGTCCACCGCGACCGCGGCCACGCTGTCCACCACGAGATCCAGTGCCGGTAGGCTCTGTAGAACGTCAGTATAGGTACGAATCGACCAGTGACAGGGCACTCACCGCCAGATCCCCTGCCGCGGTTCTTGTCAGAGCCGACGCCGCGATCCCGGAATGCTGTGCTGCGTTAGCATTTGTCCATTGAATCTCCCGCGAGAATGTAGAGCATGGGGTTTGCTCTTTGTATCCGACGTACCGTTGTCGTTGGCGTTGTCGGACTGCTTGGCACGGTTCTGGTTGCTCGTCCTCTCGGGCATGGGCTTGGGGGCATCGGCTCCATCGCGCTTGCCGTGCCTCATGACGGGCTTCTCAATCGCCCTCGTCGGTGGGTCAGCCGGCCTGTCGGGGTCGAGCTCGGGGTCATTGCCTGCGGGGTCGTGAGTGAGAGTTCGGTGCCTGTGCTGTGCGCTGCGACATACCCAGCAGCTCGTAAATGTTCTGCAGTTGAAATTAGCATCTTGAAGCTGTCTACTGTGGTGCAGGCCTTCTCGCAACCCTCAATGGAAGGCGCGAAGCCGGACCTGATGGTGGGGTGAGTTGTAGCTTACCTTGGAAGCAATTTGCGACATCTTGACGGATTGGAGCGCCTTTCGCGCTTTGCCCTTCTAGATGCACAATCTGCCGGGAGAGAAAAAGAATGCGAGAGCTTGCCCTACAGATTTTAGGGACGTGGCTCTCAGAAGTTGACTCGCGAACGGGGTGATAGGCGCGATGTTGCGGGCACGAGGTTTTGGTCAATCGAAAATGGCCGTGGGTTGCTTCCGTAAGCGAGTGTAGTGGGGCTAAGACTATTGGAGGCACAAAGAAACATGAGCGCTGCGGTTCTTGCCGCATACAGCGCTTCACTCGATTCTTGTGCGACGGCAGCTCAAAACAAAGTCTTGAGGCACATGGTATTCACTGTAGCCAGCCCGTTAATTTGCAGCTCTTGCGCCGCTGGCGAGTCACTGATTGATTCGAATGCGCGTTCAAGCGCACGTCATTCCGAGGCTGTTTCACCCGTGCAATGCTTTTTGTCAGGAAAAGCAAGTGTGAATGCTACCAGTGCAGCTCCAGAATGCGACCGCGTTGCTGTAGTGTCGCGAGATGTGAAAAACCTGACTTGGCATTGGTTAAAGAGCATGAGCGCTGTCACGGTGTTGTGGGAAGTATGAGGGGGTGCAACATTGACTCGATAGTTGCAGCCGACTGCATTACAATATGTACAAAGCATCGTCCCGCCTTCCAGTGTCACTAGACGGGCAGCGAAGCCAGAGTGAAACGTATGGATGAGAAGTATTCACCCGCGTCCATAGCAATAACCCCAAGCAATTTCCATCACAAATACAGATGTCGTAAACCTGCCCCAGGTCGAATGATAACTTTTTGTAGAATTTCCTCGCACCGAGACTCGTGGTCTCATGTTGAACGCCGTCGTACCGTCGTGACACATTGTCGATTGGGTAAAAGCAGTTGTTGCGCCCGCTAAACAACGTCATGGGAGGGTATCAGTCGGTGGTTCTCCAATTCGGTCCCTGATAACTCCAATATAGCCTCCTCCCCCTATCCTTTGCTCCTCATATCATCATCTACTCTCATACATCGTAGGGAAGTGCATGCTGGCCGAAAGTCCAAAGGGGTCGGCATCGAGCATGGGGTCGTACGGGTCGAAGAGGTGGTTGTTGCTCATGCCATTGTAGGCATGGCCTCCGTCGTTGGGCGCCAAGGCTGCTGGGCTTGTGAAGGGAGGGTTCTGCGAGGGCGGCATCGGTGGTGGCATGTTGTTCGACGGCGGGAAATTTTGTTGCGGGAACGGGCCAGGGCCAGCGGAGTGGTCGCTCGGGTCGTCGTGGTCGTAGGAGTCGGCTTGTTCCTCGTACTCCTGCTCTATAACACGAAATCAGCCTAGGATTACAAAGCCCTATACTTAAGAGGGGATAGGAAACGGGTCAGCTTGCCGAGTTGACTCATGTGGTCCGTGAACTGTGTCTGGTAGAAAGACGTAGGACCACTGCTCTGAGTTATGCCGTTACCGTTGCTGCCAACAGTAGACGCGCTTGCTATGCCATTTGCGGGAGCCTGGTTCGTTACGAGCGAAGGGCGCTGAGCACCCATCATGGGAGTGAAGTTTGATCTAGGCGGCTGTGGCCGTAGCGGCTGCTGCTGTTGGTGCTGCTGCTGCTGCGGAGGTATGGGCCCAAAGTTGGGAGACACTGATTGACCATGAGGTATGAAGCTGGGCGAGCGCGTTGCTGATTGAGCAGGCGACGAGAGATGCGAGCCAGGAGTGGGTTGCGACAGTGGTGAACGCTGAATCGGCCCATCCGGCTGTATCATGGGCAAGCCATTGACGCTATCAACCTTGGGCGGGCCTTGGAGCGAGCGCCGCTGTTGTTGTCTGTTCAATATAGCACGTTGTTGGAGAGGCGCCTGGTTGGGCGAGGTGTGTGCAGACGCTGGGGCTCTGGTCGGCCCCAGGTTTGGACTGCCAGTCTTCGCGCGCAGCTCGGCCTGGACGTCGATACCTGGTGGAGCAAGAGGTTAGCGTGTGTACCCTGATAGATAGACGTCTTGATAAGATTGGGGCTACCTTTCTCTAGCAGAATCCTCTCGAGTAGAGAATTCTTATACCGGAGCATAAGGCATTCGTCGGCGGCGTTGCGGTGACTGTTCTGCAGGTTCTGCAGCGTGTCCTCATGGTGCTTTATGGTGCTCTCCAGCTGCTTGATGTACTCTGTACGGCGCTCACGGAAGGCGGCTTGAGCCTGTCTATTGCGCTGCTTGCGCTCCTCTGAGGTGGCATATATCTTACGACGCTTGGTTAGTCCTATCTTCGACATAGTGATTGGCGATTCAATTGCTGCAGCCATGACAGGCAAGGCAATTGGCATCAGGAAGGCTCACAGGTTTACGGCCGCCTTTGCGCTTCTGCTGCTGGGGCTCTTCCTGGGTATATGTCTCCGCCAGACCAGGTTCCGGCGACGATCCGATAGAGTCGGTCGAACCATCGCGCGAAGCCTCTGCCTTGCCCACGGGGGCCGTCATATCTGTTACGAGACTATCTCCCATCTACGGCCACCGTACCCCTCCGTCCTGATAGAGGGGCACCGAGGCGCCAAGAGCTGCGAGAGATGCGACAAAGGCAGGTCGAAGGAGATAGCAGGAGGCTCTGGTCGCTTAGACGCGCTTGTGCTGGGCAGCCGCAGCGCCGGGTCGAAAATCGATACGGTTTGTATGGGGTTTTGATAATGTATGATAAGAAGAGGGCGTTCGGGCCTGTGTGTGGTCGCGCA